GTTGCGACTAAAGTCTGAACCGTGATGCGATAGGTAGTGAAAGTCAAAATGCCTGAAAGATGAAGACTGAAGAAGACCAGCTGACCGTTGTAAAATTAAATATATACTTTGGAGGTGAGTATATACTCGTGTAGACAATAAGAATGGTGGAAAGGATTGGGGAATTTGGTCAGGAACGGCACCAACCTGAATGGTGACGGAGCTCGACTGAGCCCCGAGCACCGCGACCACCCGATCCAATTTCCCGTCCAAGAACTTTGCCAGGCTGCGGTCCTGGCAGCGGTAGCCCTCCTGGCCGAATCGGTCACCGCGCGCCATGAAACCTGCGTGCCAAAGGAGAAAGAAATCGATCGAAGCTGGCGAGAGAGACTAGACCGATGGCGAAACTTACCCTTGACGAAGTAGAACGCTTGGTGGAGCGCGTAGGTCGGATTGTCGCAGGTGTCGAAGGCCAGGGCGCCCAGTCGAACGCCCGCGAGTATCCCCGGGTCCTCGTTGATACGCTGGATCGTGTAGAGCATCGCTTCCAGCGGTTGAATCCCGTCCTCGGTCTGCCTCGGCGTGCAAAACCTGTTGCTACGACGGCTGACTTTCGTCGATCGGGACCCTTACCTGAATCTCGCCGCAACTGTTGCCGTCGTTGCCCTTTCGATGCACGGGGAACAGTCCGCCCAGCAGCAGATCGCCCGTCACGTTCGCGTACCAGACGTCACCGTGGCTGGTGTTGATGCGCTGCACGTTGGACGAGACGACACCGACGATCGCCAACAGGTTCGTCGTCCAGAGCAACCGAATCGCGATCGCACCGATCGTCGTCGTCGTCGCCGCCGCCATCTTCTCGTTCCCCCGGACGCGGTAGCCAACCTAGTAATAGTAGTAGTAGCAGTAGCTTGCACGAGCGTGGACTAGTCGACTGGCGTATCGACGACAAACTAGATTCGAAACAAGGCAAGGAAGCAAGGAGTGGCATCGATCGCCGAGAAAAACGGAAATCGAGCCGAGATAAAGTGAGGGGAAACGAGCGCGAGCGTGTGTTCAGGTTACGGAGGAGGTAGAGCGCAAACAAATCGCTCTTCCTCGCTGGTAAACATGGAAGAGCGATTTGTCAGCAAAGAGCAATCTCGTTAAATATAACGCTGCGCCGTCTGTCGCGGCTTCCAGCTCTGCGTACGCACGAGCACGAGCACGAGCACGAGATCGAGGAAGAGGAAGAGAAGAGAGCATGTTAACAGCGGCGACTCTCGGAGGAAGCGGAGTGGGAACGATAACGATGGAATCTCCAATTATTCAATCGTCCGTCCGAGCTGGTCTGTTTAACCGTCGCACTCCTCCTCGTCGGCTGCCCGAACGAAGCGGCCACGCTCCTTTCCATAATCGCGTTCTCTTCTCGCGGGCACACAGGCGCGCTGAAAGAATCGAGCCGAAAGAAAGAAAACTTTGGAGAGAGAGAAAAGGAGCGAAAGGAGGTGTGTGGTACCTAGGATGGACGGAAGTGGCGACGATTCGACGCGGAGGTCGTTCGACGGGGTCGATTGTGCCGTGTTTGCGGGAATGCTCGCCGTTTCGGCCATCATCGGCGTCTATCAGGCGTACAAATCGCGAAAGAACGAAGACGAGGCGGTCCGAGAGTACTTGGTCGGCGGGCAGAACATGTCCATCTTTCCTATAACGATGTCGTTGATAGCCAGGTGATACGATCGAATACGCAAACGAACGTCGCAACGATTTGCTCTTGCTCAACGAACACGTTCTGGCTTTCCAGCTACATATCCGGAATAACGATCCTCGGCCTACCAGCCGAGATGTACGTCTACGGCACGCAATTCTGGAGCGTCGTCATTGCCGATTCGTTCGTCTCGTTGACGATGATTCTCGTCTATCTGCCGGTGTTTTACGGTCTTGGCATCACTTCGTCTTACGAGGTAAAACGAACCCCTCTCTCTCTCTCTCTCTCTCTCTCTCT